CCCCAAAACCCCAAAACCCCAAAACCCCAAAACCCCAAAACCCCTAAAAAAATTCATTAAATTGAATTTATTATTAACAATTTTTACTTTTTGCTACGAGGCTTTGAATTATTTCCAGTAGAGCTCCTTCTTGATGTGAATAGCATTGGATTTTGTAAGAAACCTGAACTCTGACTCCCAAAAATGTCGATTTCTCCTTCTGCATCGTCTGTTTCAGCCCCCTTGTCTTGCTTTCACTGCTTGATGTGCTTGTGGTACTCTCTAGCCGTGATTCTGAGTTTGCATCTCGAACACTTGATCCTCCCAATTTCACTGAATCGTTCTCTGCAAGTTTTGACTCCGACGAAGTTCTTAGAGTTGCGCTTGAAATGCCGGTACTTCTTGAGTTTGTCTTGGTGAGAGATCAGCGACTTCTGCGAGTGTTCCGGACTCTTGCACACTCTCGCAACTGTGGTCGATCCTCCATCTGGTTTTCGGTCAAGCTGAGCTGCAGCCTTATTTGCTGGTGTAGTACTTCAACTCGTTATGAAACGGAGATCAATGGAGCTGGTGGATTTCAGTCAGACACGGATTCAGGTCGTTGTTGCTCGAAGTGTCTGCTCATTTGTGACCGTTAGTGCTGATTTTGGGCTTGGTCGATTCTGGTTTATGCAGACTCTTGTCTCTACTTGTGTGGGGTCTCCGATCATGATCTTGCTCTACCTCGCTATTAAGTTCGTTTTGCTTGACTTCATCAATGATCCTGTTCATCTTGGTCTCATATTCGGTCTTGAGGAGTGTAATTTTGTTATTTGAAGTTCGTATTCTGACTTGACTTGCGTCTGAGTTCAGCATTTTGCTCGATGAGTTTGGCTTTCTCGATCTCAGACTTGCAAAGATCTTCTTGGAGTTCACGGATTTTGCATTTGTAGCCAAGAACTTTCTTGTTGAACTTCTGCATGGCACTTTTCAGACTGTAGTCTTTCTTGCACTTCGAAAGCTTTTCTTGCAAAATTTCAAGGTTTTCATCGTACTCACTGGTGATCTTGGCCATGTACTGCTTCAATTTGGTGATTGTCTTCGAGTACTTCTGGCACTTGTCGACCAGACCTTGGTAGGCGTTTTCTTTCTCGCTTTCGTACGAACAACACTTTATTTTGTTTCCGAAAGAATCGAGTCTTCTCTCAATCGACCCAGCATGATGCTTGAGCTCTGAATCTGGGACTCGTCGTGGAGACAAGTAAGTCTCGTTGGCACTCAGCATCTGGAAAGCCTTAGCCTGGATGTTCACCTGATCGATCTTGTGCTTCATTTCGAACTTCTCTTTGGTGTAAGCCTCTTTAAGTTCTTTGAATTCTTTCTCGATCTGTGACTTGTACTTTTCGAAGGCAGAGTCTTTTTCAAGAATTATTCTCTGGTTCTCAAGTTGAAGTTTCTGAATTTCCAGTTCTTTATTTGGAGTTCTCTTCACACAGAGAATACTCGGAATTTCTGTGTTTGGCAACCATTTCATGTAACTCTTTCTGATGCTTCAAGTTGAGTCCATCAAGCTCTGACTTTAAGACATGGTTATCTTTTTCAAGCTTTTCGATCTGATCCAGGTACACACTCGGGTTCACTTTGAGGTCTCCACATGCATGGTCTTTGATTTTCTGTACCATATCCTGACTCCTGAGTTCCTGAAGCTCAGAGAGTTCGTTCTGAAGCAAGTGGATCCTCTGTTTGAGCACAGCCTTTTCAGTTTCAGAAGAAGTGACTCCTTGGCTGCACCTTCTACGATGTAAAGTATTTTTAAGCTTTTCATTGCTTTCTAACAGTGACATTTGGAAATATAATTAACTTATTCCAATTTTGTTAATAAATCAGGGGTTTTGGGGTTTTGGGGTTTTGGGGTTTTGGGGTTTTGGGGTTTTGGGG